AGTAATGATTGTTAGGATGGGGCAAGGCGGGGCAGTGCTTCATTCTGTTGTGAATAAGAGTTGTAAAGAGTTAGAACCAACTTGACAGATCCTAACGAAAATAAGCAAATAGACAAATGATTGCTGTGTCTTTAAAATAACATTCTTCTAAAATTGGCCCAAGAGTTCTACAGGATTTTAAAGTCACATCCTTGAGCAGGCCTCCATCCTTACCCTTAGTGTAAGGCTCAAGGCCACCACTTTTGGGGGGGGGGCAAGAACAGTAAAACATAACAAAAAGGACCGCAGAAACTTCCCTTGCCTGACTGCCACCATGAGGAGACCGCTGTTGAGATGCCAGCCAGCCAGCCAACTTCCAGAGTGGAGGAAGACTCACCTAAGCTCAACATCTAACATATTTTTAAGTAGCATTATATTTTAAATGTTGTTGTTGTTGTTGTTAAGTGCCATCGAGTCATAAGCTACTCATAGTAACCCTATGAATGAAGAACCTGAGCACTTGTATTAACTTTCATCCTTTCTCCAGGTTCATAGGGTTTCCGGAGGCAGGCAAGCTATCTCAGAAGTAAATGCCGCTCTTGCTTCCAAGCTTGTTTTAATCGGCGAACTCCACCAAACACTGCCCACCATGGGTGACCATTATCACATTTGACACATCAGTGTCACAGTGTTCAGCATCACAGCAATCACTAATTTCCTCTGCACAGAAAATGGACAGACCAGTGCTATGCCACTTAGAAGAATGTTTGACCAAAAACCAATTATTTCTTGTGTGTACCGTCAAATCAGATCTGACTGGTCCAGGAGGAGATTGTCCCTCCTTCTCCAGCAGAGAATCTGGTGGATTCAAACCACACACCTCTGGGATTGCAGTGCATTTTCTTGCCACTAGGCCACCAGAGCTCATGACCAAAAACAATTAAAACAAAAAACAAACAAACAAACAAAACAAAAACAATTAAAACCAGGCCTGAGGGCCACAGATTAAAGTCACCCACCTTTGGATTGGTAGCATCACTTTCTGTCCATTAGGCCAACTGAGAGCTCTCTATGTTGTTGTTGTTGTTGTT